CAGAACTAATTACCCTTTCAGTTGGCTAAGGAAAAATGATCCTAACCGCTGCTATTTCAGTTGTGGATGAGGCATATACCACGCAGAAACACTGGTAAAAAGTTCTGCAAGGAACTGGGGTTATGTTAGTTTTGTAAAGGGGTTTCCCTGGCTTGTCTTGAAGAGACAAGTGCTTCCTTATGGTTCAAAATCTGTGCTTTAACCACTCCTCTCCACATCTTGTTAAGTGTCAGACATCTCCATCTATTGTGATATATTTTCCTGATGGATACACCTCCAAGAAACACAGTGGGAAACAGGATCAACTATAATGCTGCTGACACTTGCTCCCATTTCCAGTTAGCAAATATAAACAATAAACAATATAAAATGACCAAAGATATGCAAGTTATGGTTAGTCTATTGATTGTTTTACCGTTTTTAAAGCTTCAACTTTAATGACACATCTCTCCTTCCTTTTCACTAATATATACTCTACAGTAAATTAATAATATTACAATATTATATATTTTTTTAATAGACAATAAAATTAGTGTTCAGCTGTGGATTAAATGTAGGTGTCTGCAATCCAGGGAAAGTTTTGCAGTGGATTTGGTACAGAGTTGAAATATTCATCAGCACACATTTGTGCAAAATAATCTGCAATGCAGCCTGCCATAGCTTTCACACATCAGTTCAGCTTACGGATACATGAAGAGACATTTGTAAGAAAAAGGAAAGTGGCAGAGGAAGAGATGTGCAGCACGCAGCGAGAATACCACAACAGAGGAGAGCGGCATTTCGACTGCCGATCTCTGCAGTCTACTCTACCCACTCTGAATGAGGGCAAGACCATGGAATAGCCATTAGATGGCAACAACTCCAAATTACTTCCTGTCCTTCCTGCCTCTGACCCAGTGACCTAAAATAATCCACGTAAAATACATTCAGTTTTATCACAGTTCAAAGCAAGTACAGACCTTGCTTCCTGTGCTAGCGTGCTTTTTAAGTAAATACAGGGCCAGAAATCCTCCCCCTGAAAGGAAACTGTTTCTGGAAGCCAGCGTTGGGCAGCTCTCCTGCAGTACTACAGCAGGAGAATGTCACCTTCTGTGCACATCACGGAACAGAAACACCTTCTTATAGAAAACAAATGCATTGTTTCTTCAGAAGTGCAACAAAAAGATTGAACCTGATGAGATGTCTACAGCTTGTTCTAAAGACTTTACAGGTTTCACCTGTAACAGGTAAATCCTCTGACAAAGGTATTATACTAGAAGTTGTTTAAATACATCATGAAATTTCTTCAGCACTGATAAACAGTAGTTACTAGAATCCAGAAACAACTTCCACATTTGCTTATCTGAGTATGAAATTTTAGCTTTAGAGGCTTCTTTGGCTTATATTCTTTTCTATAAATCCACATAAAGGTCTAGATTTTAATAGAGAAGGTCAATATAAAATTTAAAATATTTTGTACTTGACAGGACTGTCTCCACCACACACAAAAAAAGAATTCAAATACTATTTTACCTGCATTTCCTTCATATTCCCATAATTGATTATAAAGGAGACAGCTACTACATATTTTCTTTACCACTCAGTCTCTTTTTTACATTAGACAGTCTTTGTTCTGCTTTAAGAGAAGTAGCAAGCAAAACCACTCATAAAACTGCCTTCCTGCCAGTGAAATCATAGTTTAACATAATCTATGCTGGGAAAGATGTCCTTCACTTAGGTTGATAGAGGACACCTAAAATAATGTGTAAAATAAGTTTATTTTATATGCACATATTAATACATATAAGGATATATACAGAAAAAATAAAATAATGTTGCAAATAACTTTTTTTTAAAAAAAAGTTCACCAACTCCTTAAGATCAATACCCACTTTAAAACTGAACTTGGAGTTGAAGAGGCAGACACTTAGTGGACTATCACACAACGAAAAGAAAATTCTGGTATTAGCAATAGAAACTGTTCATTTGACATGGTGATGATAGATTGATTCAAGAGTGACAGTTGTTATCTAACCACCAGCAGGAATTTTTATTCTGCTAAGTAATATGTCGAGTATGAACAGATTTCCCTAAGTTTAAAATTTTCAAATGTGTGTTCAAGCATAAAATAGCTTGGATAAAATATTAATCCAATAGGCGAGAACTGCTTACTGAGCTCTCTTCACAGAGAATCACCTCTCTGCAGGTGGGCAACATACATAAATCTATATAACATTTTACTTATTTTTAGCATAGATGTTGCCTAAGCGGATGATTGGAATTCATGGAAATATCAAAGTAGAAAAGCATTCAGTTCACAGATTGTGCACGATCAGCAGTTGCCACCTTCTTCTCCACTAGGAAGCCAGAATATTTCTAAGGCTTGGTACACAGCAACATAAAAATTACATTACAGTGTTATAAAATGACACAAGGTCTATTTTCTCCTGTCTGTGGAAAGAAACTTAAAGCCATGAACCTTGTCATCATCATACAGTTGCAAAATTGTCTTGTGAACAATGCATTTTTAAAATAAAAGAGGAATACTGCACAGTATTAGACATCATATGTGATGTCATAGTATCAACTTGGTGGCTCACCTTCATTATCACTTTATATCAACTCCAACACATTTAACTGAATCAGCAGCAGAACAGCTATCAAATACACAGGGTCAACTCCTCCTGACCTTTAGGGATAGAAAATACTAGAGAGATGTAGTGCACCACAATATCTAGTTAGTGGATTATGTGGTTGTTCACCACCTAAAGCATACAAGCAGTGAACTGGTTGAAAAGGCAGAAAAAGGAAGACCAGAGAGTGCCTTGAACGTGTGTAGGACTGCTTTACACACAACGTTTGTTTGAATACACTCATCACGTAAGCAGATACATGCATCTATATCCCACTTGGAATAATTCTCACTGAGGGGCATGCTGGATTCCAAACCCTCCTTGGCCTAGGGCTAAAACCCAAGGACTAGTCTACATCTCAGTTACACACACTTGCAGTTCCTACGTCAAGCAAACAGGAAGTTATTTATAGGAAGCTCTGCAAAGTGCAGATTGCTAAGGAGATCCCTTACATGACCATAATGCAATCAAAAGCCATGGAATGACATTCCTCTTCACTACAGTGTGGTGCTGAGGTGGTACTTCAGTTCTAGATAATTACTTTTAGTCTGTTGCATAGTTTTAACACTTCAAGTCCAGTATTAATTCTGAGATAGTGCCTACAGCCCAAATCAGTGACAGAGATTCCAGTATACCAGGGACTGAGTACATGCAGCTAAAACCCAGTATCTCGAATACTCAAAGATAAAGCAAGCATCATCTCTAGTAATTACATTTTTTTAAATATTACCATGAGTAAGAGTAAATATTTGGAAGTCAACATGATGAAGACAGTATTAGTTTTTTTCCAAGTATCAAGTATCCAAACAGTTGCCTGGCTAGCTTATAAGACACCATTTTACCCACAGCAGCTCTCACATTTCATAACTTGAGACATTATTTCAACCTACCAGAACCACTTGACCTATTGATATAGTTTCAAAGGCAACCCACTCATCTGCAGAGATGAAACACTGAGTGAACTAGGATTTCCTAACAAAAGACAGATACTATCCCACTGCTATGCAAGCAGCTGCCAAGTCTAACAGCATTATGAGAAATAAAGTATTAAAGTTATAATCAAACCCATTTTATGATTTAACATGTAATAGAACAAACAACGCTAGAGCTGTATTGTTAATGGCAGTCTTTTTTTGCTGCCACAGTGAGGTATTCCAGGCCATAGGAGAAGTCACAAATCATTGCTCAGAGACTGCAAGACCTTACAATCTCACAGGTATTTCAAAGAGAGGGCACAGCTGAAGGTTTAGGCAGGTATTACATCATCAGAGAAGTGGCAAAAAAACACAAAAGGAAGGCAGTACAAAGTGTTCACTAGAATATGGGAGTTTTTGCCTGAAGATTACTTGCAAAAATGTCTAAGGAAGGTACCTAAGATAAAAATGGATTGTGAACAGGCTTTGAATTGTGACACAGAGGTCAAAATCCCCCTGGAAAATTCCTGTGGTAAAGAGAATTGGAAAGGTCAAACCTCACTAAGCCAGAAGCCACAAGACATTTCCCTTGTGAAAAAAAGAGAGAAAGAAGCAACCATAACACTTATTAGTAAAAGAATTAAATTCTAATCGTGTGACAATATGCAGAGCATCGGCCAGTAGTATATCCATTGGATATAGAAATAGGCCTTTTCTGATTAAGCTAAATAATTCCAAACTGAGAAAACCTTCCAGGAAAATGAAAATTGTAGTTATCAGAATTGTGAAAATGATTTTTAACCAATGAAAATATTTATGTATGAGGCTCCCACTGGCTAAGGTAACTCACTAACAACAGAGAAACTTTATACCTAGATAGCCCTAAAAAAGTAGAAATCTGTAGAAATCCAGATTTTCAGTGTTGTTCTAGACAACTTAGAGAGGCAACTGCTCTCCAAATTACTGTTTTGTTGATTCCTGTATGGCACTCAAAGATACATTGTAGAAAGAGAACCCTCTGTAAACTGTCATTAAAAAAAGCATGCAAGCTCGGATCCTGTTAACATTTGAAAGCCCCCACCGTAACAGCCAGTTGAAAACATGCTATTATAAAAATTCTTCAGGTACAGATGCTTTGTAAAATTCTAGATCTTCCATTATTCATTAGTTTCTCTTCTTCAGAAAGGTTTGAAACAGGTTGCTCCTAAAATCTTATAGATTTACTCACTCCAAAACACCCATGTCCTCAGTGTAGAGGAAAGTGTTCCTCATTGGATAAAACATATGCTAAAGGAAAATAACATAGCAGAATAAGCCAATAATTCTAATATTACATATGTGTAAACATTATTAGAGAACAGGCAATTTCAAATAGCATCCGTGCACTGCCAAGAGCTCTTCAGCAATAGTTTATATGGCAAAAGAGTACTCAGGCAAAAAAGAATTACAGTGAAAGAGGCTACATTTTATTTACCTTGATGAGTCATTGTGACAGGTTCTTCACTGGATATATTGTTGTAAATGACCACAGCTGTGGCATTATGTGAAGCTGCTCGCAGTATCTTCTCTCTAAATGTACAGTTTCCTCGCTGTAGTAAAGCAATCCACTGCTTGGTGTTTGGTGGAACTTGGAAACGTGTTCGAGGGTCACAGCCCAGGCGATCTGCAACTGAAATGGGAAATACATTTACACAGATGGCAATTTATTCAAACAGGAAAAAAAAACCCTAACTTCAACTTTTGCTGAATTACTTAACTGTTATGCACTAGGAAGTTTATTAACTCTTGTTAATAAAGCCTAAAGCTAACTGCATTCTTATGAAAAAAAAGTCTTGAAAAATAACAAGTCTTGCACATTGAAAGCTGTGACTATATGCCCGAGAATTAGGCTCACTAACACAAGCTATTTTTAACTCTAGTGCAGCTAGAACAATGAATTCACATTTGGATCAATAACTGCCTAGAAGCTGAAAAACATTAGAATATGGCTCACATGCTACAGGCATTTCTGAAACAGCTGTTTATCAATCATTCTGGGGAGGATAACTTTTTTCTTTTTTAATGCAGTCATAAATATCACTGCAGTGGTAAGTATAACTAAACAAAGGAGATTGTGAAAAAAAGGCTTCAGACTTATCTGACATGTGCAGGCTACTGTAAAAAAGGACAATATTAAAACCTGATCTTGTAAAACCCCAGCAGCCAACATCAGCTTTTTACATATGCACATTTTATCTACAAGGAAGTGCATTCAAATTCATAGAGAAACAAACCGTTTTGCAAACACGATGCACTCAAGTTGTCAGCTAAAGAGGTATTGATTGTATAAAGGAAAAGTAATAGGAATGGCAAATGCCAGATGTCCAAATTCAACAGTATGCAAAACTCTTTTGTCCCTTCTGATGCCGTAATGTATCCTGAACAACCCAAACCCACACAGAGCTATGCACAAAAGGCAGAAAAAGCAACCCAGAAGGCAACTTCACAGTACAGCAGCTGAAACTGATAAAACACATTTCTGTTTATACAACTGGAAACACAGTTTAGTCTGATACATTGGTCATATCATTAAAGGATTTTAGAAATTCAGAGCCAACAGCAACTTATCATACAAATACATTTACTTTTTCAAATGCCAAGATAAAGGAATCTTTGGCTACTAAAAATGGTCGGGATAAACAGTGATTTTTCAAGACATGAACAAACAATTTATTTGCATAATAGATCTGAAAACATTACAGTTAATAAGAGCAATTCAAATTAAGTGTCCCATAAAATTATCCTTTTAAAGTAGTGAGTTCTTCAGCACAGACTATGGGATTTCAGCACAAGGTCTACCACATAAAATATCCAGTTTAACATCAGCTGGAAACAAAACAAAAGATCTTTTTAAGCATTCTCAGCTTAACATAGCTCAGGTTAAAACCTATAACAAAGGAGATTCAAATAGCTAATGGATCTTTTCTGAAACATGAAAGAAAATCTTTTGCTTGCCTAAAGAAAACTAGTGCAGATGAATCTATACTGTGGCAGTTGTACAGGAAGTCGTTGCATCTCTTAATTTGGACAAGAAGTGCCTCTCCCTGTTCCCCTGGAAGGAGGGTGGGGAGCCAGATATAAGCACATCCTTTTCACAATTGTTTTTCAAGGCTGTGTTACACATTTCAGATATGGAGGGCTATGTGCTGTATTTTTGTATTTGTGCTTTTGTTTTACATAGGGATTTGGGAAAATACAAAATACAGATGCCTGAAGCCAAATTTTATAGAGTATTTTATTCCATTACCCTGACATTATTACTCCAATCCCTTTGGAAATTGCTAGCTAGCACTGATCTACATATATTGTTTTGGAGCACTGATGCAGGCCATCACGAACCCCAATGATCACAGGAGTGCACATTCATACCGACTCCACTTTTGTAGCTTGTCTTTGTAGTCTTAAATTTAAGAGAACAGTACATTTTTTTTAAAAAAAAGGAATTCTAGTCCTTTTTGAAAATGTGATAGAAACATAACTCCGAGTATTTGCAACCAACCTTGGTGTCCTCTGTTAAGACTAAAGCAGTTTAATGCACACTTCCTCCTTGTTTTTCCCACTTAATGTGGGAGGGGGAAAGCAGCAGCAGACTATAAGATGTTTCTCAAGCCTTGAAAACTAAAAAATCCCACCTTTCTCCACTGAAATCATATACAAGAATCTCAGGTGTGATACATACTTTGGAAAATACCATTCAATTTCACAGATTCTTCCCAAAATTTCAAAATTTACTCTGAAAGTACACACTATGGCCAACGTAAATTTACTTAAAATATATGGGATGGATGAAAAGCAGCAATCCCATAGATTACGTACAGTTTGCTTCAGTACAATCATGCTCAAAACTAAATCACTAAGTGAAAACAAAAATGGACACAAAAATAAGGTAATGGGCTATCAAAATGAAAAAAAAATCATAAAAACAAAAGACAAAAGGCACCTTGAAAAGGGAGGCAGCATTCTCAAAAGTCTGTCATATGGTTCAGCTTTACAAAAATTTATGTAGGAACCTTTAAATTCGTACAGCTTGAAATTTTTAGCTTAAAAACTGACAGAGAATGTAGTAAGAGATAACAGAAACCGCATGTGTGGGAAAAGTAGTACAAAATTTTCTACCATGGCAGAGATCAAAGTCTCTCAGCTGTGGACAGAGCCATGAAATGTTACTGGATAGAGCAACAGGATTAGGAAACAAGATATTAAGAGATAAAAGCTTTCCAGATATAGACCAGCAAACACCACTCAAACACATACAGCATGTTATTCCTGATGAGGTAGATTCAGTATCTCATGATGAAAATTTAACAGCTGACAATATTATTTTAGCACTATTTAAGTAACACAAAAACATTAAGGAAAATCTAGTTATTTTAGATAAACCTGAACAGAGTAAGTGCAAGTCACCTGAGATTTAAAAGTCACAAATCACTTTTCTTTACATTAGCATCCTGTTATACTACAAAAATGCCAAGCAACCTTCTCACTTTTAACTAAATAAAATTCAGGAACAATAGTGGAAAGTCTTAAGTTTCTCTGCTGATTTTTTCAATAGACTTACTACACTCTGAAAAGAGTGAAAGTCTTACAGTCATGGTCACCTTTCTAGAATAATTATCTGGCTAAAATAAAACATCTGCTATACACCTAACATGCCAGGCACATCAGTTGGCATTGTAAGGGACATAAACAGTGTCAGCAAGAATCATCACTGATAGCTCTCCGGTTTTGTGCCATCTATGCTCCGTTGTCCAAAGTCCACTTCAGATCTAAAAGACTAGGGCTTGCAAGTATTACCTGGATGATGTCCATGCCAGAATGAAAAGCAACTTCACATTTAATTATTCTAAAACAATCACTTGCACATAAAAAGATATGGTCTGAAGTCACTCAATTTAATAATTTCAGAAGATCTAAGCATACAGAAAACCATATGTGTTTCCCTATACACGTGCTATTCTTCTGACTTATTTGGAATACAAGTTATTTACTCCACCTTTCCTTTCTCCACATCTACCTATGCACCATGAATGTGCTGGCAAAAAAACAAATCTCTGTTAGAAGTGGCAGCCTGCTGGGTTAAAGAGTTATGTACAATGTTGTTGTAAATATCTCCCTTCCTATCTTCCTCTTTACAGAAGGATCAGCTGAGATTTAAGTACCATTAGGCTGCACGTTTGTTTTCAACTTTAGGAGAGCTTCAGTTTCCTCTTGCAGAACACACAGGATCACACAATTTATATATAACTGTTTCTCCTTAAGCACTTTTTTAAATTGAAAAGCCCTTCCCACTGAAGGACTAATGTAACTGCATTTTAGGAATTCATGTGAAAGAAATAGTTAATAACGCAATAGATCTGACCAGGCTTCCTCAACTACTGAAGTGGTATTGGCAAGCTCACGTTAGCACAGCAATGGTACTTTCCTCCTCATCTTTTCCAATTGCTTGACCAGGTCCTTTAGCCTTCCCCCTATAAGAGGGATAGCCATACTGTGGAAGCAAAAATGAAATTAATAGGTCTGCTGCCAGAGGCTTTGTCAGAAATAAGTACACACTTGCCTGAATGCAGACCGTCTCCTCCTATTTCTGAACTGTGACTGGGTTTGCTTTCTCTCATATAACATGCGTTTATGTTGATCTTGTGTGGCTTAGAATGCAGATGTGATACCCCACTTCAGCCAAGGTTGCTGCATTGACTTGTTATCAGACTTTGTCCCCTTTTCACAGAAGAAGGCCAGTGCCGTGATCCCCCACGCCAGGCATTAACTATTTTATTCCATGTTTTTTTATTTTCTTTTTTTAAAGGTCGGATATCTCAATACTGATTGCATCTTAGGTAACACTCTGAGGCCAGCACCAGTTGCCAGAGCTGCTCTCTCAGCTACACATACAGAAATCATTTTAAAGTCTGACCTTCAATCACTGTAATATAATAGGTGGAAAGACACCACCAATATTTTGAGGGGCAGCAGATCAAGAGACTCCAAAAAGAAAACAGCACATGGGAAGATGCAGTCCCATGCAACCTGCAGCCCAAAGCTTTCCCTCCCTCCCTCCAGCAGGCACTGCCCAGGCAAGTGCTATGTAGCACACCTGACTGGCAAGACAGCCAGCCTTGTGCAACACATTCATTACAATCCTGTGATAAAACTTCCAGAAAAGGAATTCAGCTGGGCAATTCACAGAAGTAACACAGCAGCACTGACTGATTCTTATTTCAAGGAAGGGTACCAGTTATTTGCTATCCCATTAGGGTTTAATACCTGTAATATATGTCTTTTATTTCAATATATTACTACTTGTGTTATTATCAATATAGTCCTTATTCAAGCCAGTTACAATTTCTACTTTCTAAAAGTTATATCAATTAATTACGTACAGCGATATTTTATTTTCAAGAGCTATTTCAGGTAATTGCTTTGACTAAAGTTGGCTTTAACACTAAAACAAACGCTTTGAACAAGAGGTAATCTTGTTTCAGGGAAGAAGTTAAACAAAAGAAAAATTACTGAAGCTTAGCAGAGTCCTGCAATAGTCTGGGTTTAATCTTGTTAGCTCAGTAAGTATACTACAATTATGGCTGTAAACTCTGATATATAACCTCCACTTTTTTTATCAATTAATGACTACTAATTAAGCTGGATACTGAGACCAGTGGTAAAGGATGGATGCATGGCACAAGATTTTTCTTCCACTACACTACTGATATGTTGCTTGTTGCATTTTCCTAAAGCTTACTGATTTGGATTCTGGGCCAGAAAGGAACACAAAATTCTGTCTGAATGTTACCTAAAGCTCTGCAGTTACCAGGAAACTGGTGTTTTAAACCTTCTGCAGCCAAAACTTGTTCACACAACATGTTTATGAAGTGTCAGATGCTACAAAATGCTATAGTTACAGTACCGTGCCAAGATATACCTCCATTCCTAACACTGTGACAATATTGTTTCTTCCCCACTTCCACCTTTTTCTAGACTATGTTCTTCCTCAAATTCAGTCATCTTGCCCAGCCACAACCCTACTACCCCTTCAGCAGAGATCTCCACATTCTATGAGTTCTTTCTCCAGTGCAGCTTTCATACAACCATCACCTCCCCACATGTCCTCTGGTCCCTTTCCATCCCCCCTCACCCTCTTGTTCCTGACCCTTTGGTTCAGTGAGTCTTAAGGTTTTTAAGTTTGACTTTGAGTCTGCTGCTACTTCACTTCCTATCAGTCCCATCTCCGGTCCTAATCACCCTGCCCACTTCCCCACTACCCAAGCCAGCCAAGGTTCACAAAACCTCGCCTCCTAGCAAGGTCCCATCTGCAAGGGGACTTTGAGAGCACACAGGACTGATGTTCCCAGTCCTCAGCTGTGTATCCAAACCCAGAATGACATGCAATAACCCACTCACCAGTTACAGAAGAGTCCTGTTCACCATGGAGGTGAACAAAAGTCACAAAGCAGTTTCTACCAAAGACCATTAAACTGAGTTTTCAGTGGCTTCTAGCTTGATTTGTCATAGCAAGAGGAATATGCCCGACATGTAAAGGTCAGCACCACAGCTGGTGTCAGGCACATAATACCAAAGATGCTTAAAAGCAGAGGTCACTTAAGTGGCACAGGGCTGCATGCTTACACAGTCCATGTACATACACTGCCACAAGTACCTAGGCAGCTTCTGTGAGACGTTTGGACTGAAATGCATGTTTCTAGAAAGTCACAAGTAACGGAGGACGAGACTGAATGAGAACCTCACCAAAGAGTGAGGCTCAGTAACCTCACCGAAGAGAACATATAAACCTGAACTAAACTATCAGAAAAGCTGTATCAGGCTGTGAAGACACATTTTTCTATTACTCTTCTATGCAGGAGAGGAACATTTTTTGATCATCTGCAAGCATTCATATCCAGAAGCTGTTTAAAATGCTCTTTTGTAAGAAATTATTTAAGTCATCGCAAAAGATCAACAAGTTAGAGGAAGAAAGAAAAGGAACTAGAAGTGGAAGAACGGAAGAGAAATTAATAGAGAAAGTCTGCTGCTATCATGCATTTGATGCACTTGGAAAGATACACGTACACAGGTGCTGTATTTACACCCAGCAGCCAACTGTGGCTGCCAGCTCACTGGAGCTGCACTTTCACAAGTCACATTCACAAGCGGTCATGCGAATTACTGCCGTATCACTTCCAGGGGGACATTGCTTTTGAAAGCTGGTATCAATTTCATACAAGGGTCTATAAAAAGAACAGGGAAAGAGTTTTAATACATGTATTAACATGACAGGGTTGAATTAGATTACAGAAATTCCACTAAAGAGATGGGAGAAGTGACTGAATACATCATTCTGCACTGATATTTAGAGGATGGATAATCACTTAGGACTGGCAACATCAAAAAGTAGTATATAAAATATGTGGCATACTCAAGAACACAAGTTAACAAAAACCACTGCAGAGCACAACACTTAAAAATCACAGGCTGTGCTATTACAAATGGTGTCTGTTTAGCAGCAGATCATTGGCCCTAAATCTTGAATTAGTAATTTCATTTATTTCGCTGCAGACAATTAATAAGGGATCTTAACACAGCATTCAAAAAATGTGACATTAAGGACATTTCAACTCTCAAACATGGATGCTCCAGTCTACACCATCAAGGTGCTAATAGAACACCCACATGGAAATTCCAAGAGATAGCCCATGAATGGGTGAATGTTTGACATCAAAGAAGTTTCAAAGTCAAAGTATCTTTGAACATAGTTAACAGTTTTAGCATCCTTCTCTTCTTAAGACACATGGTAACTGGGGTGGAGCATTTACTCCTCTAACAGCAAAGGCTGGTAATAGCTACTCATGTTAAACACTGTTAGAAAAAACTATTTTCAAACAGGTTCTACAGCAATATTAACAGGCTGATAAAAAGTCATCAGAGCAACTACTTTGAGCAAGACAGAATTGTCTTTAATCAAAACTAGATATAAAAAAGCAGAATAATATAAACTTAAGACCCCTAAGCATTCAAGAGCATTTTAACTAAAAGCATTAAATATTGCAATCTTTCCTACTATATGAAATGTTTTTAAGCCACGTTTGAAGCATGCCTCAGCAAAATTAAAGTAAAATGTATACTATGTAACAACCTACATAGAACAGTTCAGAAAAACTTGAAAGGAAGACAGCTGCTACATGTTTGCTTTAGCAGTCTTCTGTTGACAAACAGGACAAAACTGAATCCCTCCAACAACTGATGGCAAAGCTTTAATGAAGGCAGCATGTCAAAACTGCAGAAAATGAGGTCTGCAATTTCACAATTCCTGCGGTGCTTTCTCACTGAACTTATTCATCATAATACTTAGCAGTAAGGTATAAAAATGCTGTTTATGGACTGTGCAGAATTTTATTTAGCTCTTGCCTCATTGTTAGCTTCCTGTGAAAATGCTGTCAGCCTCCCTCAATGTTTTAATCACTCTTTAGTGAAGACCGTATCAGAAGAAATCAGAAAAAGTTACAGAAGCAGGTTAAAAAGTAATATCAAACCTTTTGCTTGAGAAATAAGGCAGCTACTTTTAGAAAAATAAGAATCAAGCATTTTGATAGCTTGCATATATTAAAAGGCAGCAGTTTTAAAACCCCTAAAAATACTACTTGCAGTAACAGCGTTTATGTGCCTAACGCTTTCAGGAAAGCCTCCTGATTTCATATGGCATTAGGTATGTGTATTTAAGTGAGGAATATCAGGAAGCAGAAGAAAGACAGACTGAGCATATTTGATGATAGCTGACACTGAGATGATGGATGGTGAAGGTAGGAATTGAAATACAAATGAAAATCATTTTACAGTAGACTTTCCATTTCCTCACCCTTCCACTCAAAAAAATATGCTATATTAATATATTCTAGTTAACACTTCGTAAAGCTAATGAAACCAAGCTTCAATAAAACTGGCAAGCATGTGCTGATACACAGTCTGCTTCATACACACTAGAAGCTTATAGCAGGCTGCATTTTGTTCTGAAGAAGCATCAGAGCATTTCCCTGGTCTTAAGATTTGGTAAATTTTTAAAAGGTTTTAATAATACAGTAGTTCTGCATTATCAATTCATTTAAAAAACTCTTAATATTCACCACTTGGAGTCTAGTTTTAACTGACTACATTATTTAATTTAATACATTATTCAGAGGTTTACTCTCCAGGAGACAGGTTGGGTCCACTGTGATCTATCAAGTGGTCCATTTCTTAAAGATGGCAGGTTAGATAATGTCAAGAAGGGTTTTCAAAATAAGGTACTACTAATCCCACATCATTATGACTGAAGCGATTGGTTTCATTTCAGGTAATAATCAAGATAATACCCTCTCTTGTTTAAATTATTGTTCTCTATAAAACCCAACATTTCTCAGAAAGCAATTTGTCACAACAGCTTCACTTAATAAAAAGAAAACTTATCTGGAAGCACTACACAGTGTTCAGTACCCCTCAAACAAGCACATTTCGACCAGCCATGAGTAACAGCTTGATGGCTTCAGTCTTTCCAAATCTTGATGGACAGCTTAAGCAGCATTTTTAAGAAACGTACACGGACAAATCATGACTTCATGCAGCAGCAAAATCCATCCAGATGCTTGAGACAGTATGCAGCTGTTCTGAGATTCATGGCAACACTGTAACCAAATATTGTTAACTATCACTACCGACTCTCTGTAATTAGTTTAGAAATAACACCTTCATAGCTCAATGTGACTAGCCTACTGGGATTCATGCTGGAAAACACATTATGCTTTGCAGAGCCGTTATTAAAGCCAGCACTCTCAGAGCACGGATTTTTTTTTTTTTTTTTTTTAATTTTCCTCTGGGTAAGTTCTTCCTCCCCTTCTGTCAGAGCTCTCTAGGAAAGTCTGAAATCCCAGAGGCCACCCACCCTGTAAAGGAGGCACCCGACAGCAAGCCACGGCCGGCCGCGAAGGACGCGTTACCTCCGTTGATGGGGACGGGAGCCACCAGCAGGCCCTTGACTTCCACCTTGGGGGAATCCTGCCCGTAGCGGCCGCGGTCGATCCTCAGCAGCGTGGGGCCGCCCCGCTCGGGGCTCAGCACCGTCACGTTGATGAGGGCGGTGTAGTACGCCTGGCTGGCGTTGTCGGCGCCGGCCGGCCGGCCCCAGCCGTGCCAGAGCAGCAGCAGCAGCAGGACGGAGGAGCCGCCGTTCCGGTGCTGGCGAGCCCACCGCCGGCTCATCTTCGACTCCGGGCGAGCCGACAGCCGTCACCGGTTGCCTCCGCCGCTCCTCCCGCTCCCTCGCGGCAAGCGCCGAGCCCCACACGCCCGGGTGTGCTTTATCCCATCTGACAGCCCAGCAGCGGAGAAAGACCAAAACCAGGCGGCGGGGGGGGGAGGAGAGCACGGGCTCATGCCATGGGAGGAGCCAGGGGAGTCATGGCAGGTCCCAGCCGAGTCCGATCCGCACGGCCGCGGCCCCCACGCGGGAAGGCTGCCCGGGGCGAGCCCCGCTCCGCCGGCCCCTCAGGGCGCCGCGCTCATGCCGCCCGCCCGCCGCCGCGGGGGGAGCCCCGGCCGCCCGCCTCTGCCCGTGCCGGGCGAGCGGAGGGGAGGAGGCGGGGGCGGCGCCGCGGCCCCCTCCCCGCACAGCCCCGCGCCGGCCCTGGGGAGCCCGCCGGGAAAAGCCGCCTCAGTCGCGCTCACACACAGCCGCGGGGCTCGGCTCGGCGCCTCGCTTCGCGGCTCAGCCGCCACTTTAGTGCGGCGGGAGGCGCGTCCCGCTGCCCAGGCCGGTGGCCACGGCTGGTGGCCACCGCTCCATGCTCCACTCCAGTCCCGGGGGTGGGGGGGTGGTGGGGGGGGGCCCCCGCAGCCGCACCGCGCTCCACCGCCGGCTCCGCGCCCGGCGCCTCGACTGCAGCCCGGCGCTCCTCGCACTGCGCAGGCGCGCCATGCCCCGCCCCACGCCACGAGGGCGAGGGGCGGGAGACATGCCCACATAGAGGCGTGGCTAAGTGGGGAGGGAACGCCCGCGCATGACGTCACCGGGGACGTGGAGGGAGGCGGCCATGGCGGGCGGGACGCAGCCTAGCGGGGAGTTAGCTGTAGGAACACACAGGGCCTGCCATGGGTCCTCAGCGTGCGTCGTTTTCGAAACGAAATCCCAAATTTCCCAAAATCGGGAGCGCTGGCCATCAGGAAGATACGAGAGATGGTTTAGATGCGTGTCTCGGCGAGGAAAAGGGGGTGGATGTGGGAGAAAGAGGTGGAGTGTACTCTGTCTGTGCAGCCAGCGCTGACAGGGCTGTGCCGCGGGAGCAGCACGGCCTCTGTCAGAGTTTGGTCGCTCCTGTCTGATTTGGAGTTACTCCGGGCGTAGTTGAATGGGAAACATTACAAACAAATGTTTCTATTAAATATTAATGCCATGAAATACTGTAAAACAAGACTTGAGTTACTCTAACGAACATCATCGTTTGGAGGATTTTGGTCTCTTCAGAGTATAACTAATGTAATGGCCTCACGGGACTTTGAAAGGCAAACTATCTTAAAATTACTTAAGGCAAAGAAAACAAGTGCTTCAGGGCTGTGACTGAGGATATTTTATAAATTTCCGAACAAATAGCTGTGCTGCTGTTCTTCTGAGATACGGACTCCTTGGTGAACTTCCCCAGCTGCTTGGGAAGGCCCTCCAATAAGCCTGGTGTTTAACCTGAGCATCTTACTAAACTGTTCTCTTTTGGAAGGTTTTGTAGTTTGTCCACTTGTGATGCACCTGGTCAAATATGCATGTGAGATAACACCATCAAAGCACAGTCTGTTTCACTGAGATGCAAGTGGTGGGTCTAATCCTGACCCTGGGGAGACCTGTGCTGTTCACAAGGAAAGCAGCAAGCTTGCAAACCTGTCTCCGAGCAGAATGGACCTATGGGCTCTCCTAAGGCATGTAGTGTGTGGGTATGGAAAATCTGAGAAGCTGTTTATGAAAAGCTCTATAGAAATGTCAGTATGATCCAGAAAATGTTTCTGAAGCAGCAGCAGCAGAATGTTCTGCTTCCACTTTTTTTTTTTTTTTTTTAAGTTTGCCCTTCTCAGTAAATGCTGTGTGAGGAACCACATGCCATTAATGGCTTTTCAATGTTTCGCCCAACCTTTTGCCCTAGACAGATGGTGAGAGTCATGGGAAACACACTGAGACTGCACCATTGCAGAACATGTTTCGGACCTGCCGTTCTTGCAGTGCAGACACTAGTTTTTTCAGTACTAAGAGCTCTGCATCGTTTCAATGCAAAGTCATGTGCTTTATTGCTGAAATTTACTCAGAAGGGGCCAGGGAGTCCTAGGAGCCGAAAGGATCCCTTGCTATTACCGCTTTGACTGTCACAGAAGGGTTGCAAAGCACTTTTGAAAAGCATTGAGAAAACATTTGCTGGCCACGTTGGAAGCAAAACAAGCTGGTGGGCCCAGCCAGCAACTCCCCAGTTCTCTTTTCTAACCACCAGAAAAGGATGCTTTTCGTTTTGCCCTGTCTGGCTTCCCATGGGCTGCGTTTCCGCCGGAGATAAGTGTTCTGCCGTGCCCGGCTCCCTGCAGGAGGGCTGCCTGCTCGGTCCAGTCCCTCGCGGAGCCGGAGCTGGGAGGTTGCTCTGTGCCACACGCGGGGCCGTGAGCGCTCAGCCGGACGGAGCGGCCGGGAGGGAGGAGAGGAACAGCGGGGAGCTGCTCTAGGGCACACAAAAGTGGGGTATTGCCCGAGCAGAGCAGCTTCGATCTCCTTGTTCCCCAGACGGGCAGGTCCCTGGGTGGGGAGAGGAAAATTAAAAGGTGTTTTTGGCCTCTTCCATGGGTGGTGGAGCTGGTTGGAGGGATGGTGCTGGAGATACTGATGAGGGGATGTCCCCTGGTTTCTCCACCCTGCACACAGCAGCTACACCACTGCCAGTGGCTGCTCCTCAGGGGACCTTTTTTCTGGCAGACAAATGGCACTGAGGGCTTCGCCAGCCACCACAGGGGCGAGGAGGATGCCATATCTCAGCTTTCACCCCAGCTCCTGACGATTTCTTTTTTTTTAGGGGGGGGAAATGGTCATAAATCCATTTACGTTCTATTTCCAGCGCTCCCTGGAACGTTTCCTTCAGCCGGTGACTCACACCCGTCCTTCGCTTTCCTGTCAGGTTTGACATCGCCAGCGGCGAGCCCCGCCGCCATCTTCCCGCCCGGGCTCTGCCCCGCGGCCCGCCGTCGGGCCGAGGGCGCCCCCTGCGGGCCGCCGCCGCCGCGCCGACCCCCGCCCGCTGAGGGGCCGCCGCGGCGGGCGCGGAGCCGCGGGAGGCCCGGCGGGGCTCGGCCGGCCTCGGTCGCTCCCGGCGCCCGTCACCGCCGTGAGGCGAAGGAGGGCGGAGAGGGGCCGCGGAGCGGCAGACTGCGGGGCCGAGGGAGGGGCGCGGGTGTGGGGGAGATGGCGGTGGGGCGAAGGGCTGGGCTGCTGTTAGCAAGATTAACAGAAGCGTATCCGGCTTCATCTTGAGAAAAGACCCGAGTTTCATCCTGGATGGGAATACCACAAAGGCCAGCTGTTTCCTAGAGGATGCGGGTAAATGCAAAGGGACATGAAAGCTAAAAAAAAAACCAAAAACAAAAACCCAAAATGTCCTAATTGCTTGGCTTGAGGCTGGAGTGGGGTGGCAGCGGTGGCCTCCAGGAACCAGAGAGCAGCTGCCAGTTATGACTTTATTCATTTTCACATTTAGGTATTACAACAAAACTCTTAATGACAAAGGATAACAAGTACTATAGAGGAGAGGAAAGAAAGCAGTGTTCTAACTGGTTTGATATATAACCGTGAACTTCCAAAGACAAGACTCAACGTGAGTTATAAACACTCACATACGCTCACCAGTAGGAAAACTTCGCACGTGCAAACAGCCACACAACACACTCACCCACAAAACACTCACACACACAGACCACACTTTTGTACTCGCACATAACCCATGTTGTAACCTACTTGCTTTGAAGGCAGCCCACTGAAACATTGAATGCTGCTGTAGCAACAACAGGTACCAGGATAAAATATTGCAATATAAATGAAGTGTTACTTGATACACAGGTTTTTCTTCAGAGACGCGCATGTATTTGCAAGTAGGAGATCCAACGCTTTGTTTTCATGAGGGAGGAATGTCCTCTCAACACCAACACTTTGTAAGGAAAACGAGACTGCACGTAGATCGGGAACAGTCATTTTAAAGGATAAATAGCTTAGCTTCAGTGTTGAGTTCCAGTAAAAAGCCCAAACAAAACAAAACAGAGAGTGCATTGTGAATGGAGCAGGCACAATTATTGAACCCTGGCTTTTAAAAGTTGAGTTACTCCCTTGTCACTGTGGAAAGACAGACAATACTGTTGCCTCACATCTTAAAACCAAAACAGACCAGCTTCATTTCATGCTCATGCTCATCTGGAGACTGTAAAAAAAAAAAAAAAAAAGCCAAAAATAACGCAAGAGTGTGGGGAAGGGTGTCAGGTTTGTACACTCTAATTTTAGTGTAGTTTTAAGAGAGCAAAAGTACAGTTGTCTCAACAGCTCTTCACTATCCCACACTACAGTTGTTCTTCATCAGCAGGAGTGTCTGAAGAGGAGCCAGTGTTTGCTCGTATCATGGCTGCATTGTTCATGCAATGCTGTTGATGCAGATAGAATAGGATCTGATTCCACTCCCCATCAAGATGGTGCAAAAGACAGAAAATAAATTTCTGTGGAGTCGAATTATTTGAATGTTCAAAAATCAGATGTCACGCCAGTGCTTTCTCCAGAGTGAAGCAGGGGATTGTTAACAATGGCTCTAATGAAGTAACCCTTCTTCACAAGGATGCTTGTGAGTAATTTACAGCTGAACCTAGAGACAAAGTGCAGCTGTCCTGGTGGCTGGGAGTGCCGACAGCCAGCCAGGGTGCTCAGATGCCTCTGTCCCCTTTCTGCTGAGGAATCCTGCCAGTACCCTGCAAGTGTCGGGTTTTGGTAGTACATTTCTATCCCTCACATATAGAGAAGGACTTGTAGCTACTTTGGAATTCTGTTTTTCAACTATTATTTTATTTATAGGCCTCTCTCTTTGGCCCTCTCTCAGATGGGGCCATGTTTCCAGGCAGAGAACTATTTGTGAAGCACTGGAAACAAGAGAGCCTGGGTCCTATGGATGCACATCACCCAGTGAGCAGCCTGAATTTGGCTCAGCTGTCTGTCACCTTTCACCCATGTGAATGCTGGTGGAGATCCTAGCAGCACGGGGCACATGAAGCCTTCCTCCTGTCAAGGGAACCACCAGTTCAAAAACCAGGCCAAGATGAGGGCAGGAGAATTTGGTCTGGCCTACACCCCGCTGGCTGTCCTACTTCCTTGGCCTGGCTCTCCAGCATCTCCTGCCAGAGGATTCTTACTGAGTCAGAACAATTACTTAAAGATGCTTAAATTCCTGGCAACTTCAGGGGACACCAGTAGAAGTCAGGGAATTCATTGTTACATGCAGTTTCCAGTGCCAGATCCTGAGCCAGTTTGGGTCAAGCTGGTCTGGTTTTGTGCCTCTTTTTGCCATGGAAATCACATCCATGTCATCCTGTTGACATGAAGAGGGAGGGGAACATTGAGCGCTCTGCACAGGCTTAGAGAATCTGAATGACAGGCATGCTTTTCCCATGTGCTAAATAAATCTCCCCGTTACACTTGTGCAGAGAACTATAATTAAGACTTGGTAAAGTCATCCGTAAGGACTCAGAGGCTCATGTCAGGAAACGCATAAAACCATCTGCTGGAAAAGAAATGTGGTTTGGGAAAGCAGTACGTCTGACAGGAAACACAACTTTAAAAGTCCAAGCCAAACCCTTGGCTCTGTGCACTGAGGTGTGGCCTGAAAGCAGAAACTCCGTGGTGCCGA